CACAAGCTGAGATACACGCCATGCAAATCAACTGGAACTGCTCGACCGTGGAAGCAATCAACCACTGCAAATATCTGGGCTTAGTCGCGGCTAGCGATTGCTGATTTGATTCAAATATCAACCGATGTATAAGACTAGCAGCATCAACGTTTGGAAAGCAACGTGATATGGAAACACAGAACTGTTTCATTGAAGACGAAGATAATAGTGCCCTTTTTTATACTCCTGTATTGCTTGTAAACAGCTACGGTTGAAAAGCGTCACGTAGACTAACTGTACCGGTTCCAACGACGTTGTCCGTGAAGAATCCCGAACGTCCGGTGCCAACACCGAGTTTCGAACGACTGCCTACTTAAAACCACCGGAAGTAAAGACATCTACGAAAAACTAATGCATCAGTGGCCGCAGTGATTTAAAAACATGGCTGGGATAAACAAGACGATCTAAAATAGATTCTCTTATCAAGGGACCGAAGAATGGGGGCAAAAAATCAGGAGAACAGTTCAAGGGCTGGTGCAACATCACAGGGGCGACCTATCTACGACAAGAATCATATACTTTGCCACAACATATAATGTTTACATTAGTCCAAAAATTACATTCTGCCCATCGGATATCATTAGTCTTGGGTTAATAGAACCGTCGTAGTTCGTCACTTGGATGACCATGGCAGCAATGTCCATAACGTTCAGTTAAAGATCTGTAAATATCAGAAACTGTTTGGATCACAAGTGCTCCGTAGGACTTCTCCGACTATAAAATTTATTAACATAAAAGATAATCTTTCAAGCTGCACTAGCTAAAAGTCAAAACATTTATGAAAATGGAAGAAAAACACACGGGTACAAAGTTGTGGTAATATGTGAGCGGCAGTATAAAAGGGCAGGCTAAACATGAAAGAAATAATACGGCTGAAGGTTCTTGAAGCAACTCCACCGTTGCTCCCTCTCCTCCCAATATACGCTACGAAACTCAAAGTTGAGCACCCTCAGTATTACACATTAAGATCGACGGAATCATACAGAATTATATATGATTTTCAAGATACAAAGTAAAAAACAATTTCATAAGAGATGTCGAATACGAACTATGCCATTGCCAGTTACAAGTCAGTCTGGCGCAACAGGATGATTGGAAATCCTGTCAACGTTTACCTCAAATTCTAGCCCTGATCCTCGTGGAACTTAAATCATAGAAAAATTTATCGGCGGTGTCGTTGCCCGGGCTATCAAGGGCTTTGTAATTCTTTCGATAACAGAGAGAATTGGAAAGTCAACATCAATATCTGCTTGGCAATTTCCGGCAGCTAAAGGTCTAGCAGGACGACGACAACTGCCGAAAATAAAGCAGAATATGACGAAGATACCAGTAATCAGCACAGTCGCTATCCATCATGAAAAGACGAGGCACAGAAAGGCGCCAACATTTGGAAACTGGAACATTTCTTCATTAAAAAGGAATTAGCAGGAGCTGGTCGATGTGGCCACAAAGTGCCAACTTAACGAGGTAAAACTGAACATGGTTTGGCTCTCGTCATCAAAAAGCCAGGGCTCCGGATTTCTGAACCTCTGCGGGTGAAAGCTTTGCTATTCAGTTATACACTTCAGAACTCGCGCTCACGTCTTTGTTTGTACACCGGTAGAACTCTCTCTTGCTGATGTAACAATGAATAGCTGTTCAAAAAATAGCTATCTTGTCTTTTAGGTTGCAGCGAGTGAAAGCCTAAGCCTTACTACAGGTCGCTGACCAGAATTTACAGGGTGAATATGCGTCGGTCTTTGGCGAATTGGATAAAGATCAGTATGATGTGCCGGCTAGCAAGTCCATCATTCTAATCGATGACTTCAATGCATATACCAAGGCAAATACTGTAAGACAGATGATGCTTATTGCCAGGAGTGGTACTAGCGATCTTAACAATTGCGGTAGGAAATTGTAGTGCTTTTGTAAAAAAATGGACAACCATGTTATAAACATTTTCATTGAGTATTCAATAAGAATATTGCATAGGTACACATAACTTGCGCAGAGAACTCGGCGAGCGATTGGGCAATCGTATCGACTGCCTTATGATACTCTGTAGTAGATATAACGCTGTCGATCGACCATTATCTTGCTGTTGGGCTCTCTGCACAGCAAAAGATGGATTACGAGACAAAAACCTGGTTACAGTAAAAATCGAAAGATCACGTGAAAAACATCATCCCCCCTGTTGATTCAGCGGTGAAATTGAGAAACAACAAGTCACTTTTTGTGGTATTATCTTTCTCAGCCTTTCGAAAAATGTTTAGGCAAATGTGTTGGAGGGGAGATGCTGCGGAAAAGAAGCTTCAAGATTCCAAAAGGGAAATATGACTTTCTCTCAAGCCAAATATTTATTACCGGATATTCTCTCTTTGGCAGACCGTTGAGAAATTTTTGGAGTTCGTCCACCTCGTTTACATGTGCTTCCTTTCACCTACAGAAAGCCTACGACTACATTCATTGCCCCAAGGTATGGAAATGATCGTACAAATGTAAGATCAACAGCCGCTGCTGCAAGTCATCCAGTAGCTGCAGCTAACTTGGATGCTGTTTCAGACTACTTCGTTTTATTAGTATTTTTTGAAACTGACCTCTAGCGCTCAATGGAAAGGTTTGTAGACCGGCGGGAGGTAACCGGCATGTGTGTGAACGCATCTAAAACGAAAAACCTACTGGTTCCTCATCTTGCCTTTGGATCTCTTCAGATTAACGGTGAGGCAGTGCAGCACGTGGAGAAGTGCGAGTACCTTGGAGTCGTGTTTATAGGTGATGGAAAATTTGAGGAACAGATCGACCGTATTGGGGTAGCCAGTGACGTTCACCGCGAACTAGCCCGAACCATTGCGACTTAGGCATAGCTGAGTCTGAAGAGTAAGCTCACTGCATTCAAGTCGATCTTTATTCCAATGCTTACCTACGGTCATGAGTCGTGGGCCATGGCTGGAAAGCTTCGAACTCGGGTACAAGTTGCTGAAATGGGCTTTCTCGGACGAGTCGCTAGCCTTACGCGTCTCGACATGATCAAGAATACTGACATACCGGCGAGCCTTACTGTACAGCCTTAGCTTCTCCAGATTGAGGAGTCACAGCGGCAATGGTTTGAGCATATTTTGCGAATGCCTAATCAGGTAAAGCGAAGCAGCTCTTTTTTGGCTAAACAACCGGTCGAAGGCCCTGAAGACGGCCAAAATCAACCTGATGCAAATATATGGAGAGAATCTGCTCCGGATTCCAGTTGTCTTCTGCCGAAGTTCAGCCTCTGACACAGGATCGGAAAGGCTGAAAACACAATAAAACGCGTCTGCCTCAACGACTGAAGGAGAATCGGTCATGAAAAACGGTGATGG